AAATATAAAAGAAACGAACATAAACGAATACAGATAAACAAAACACAGTTGAATATATATATATATATATATATATATATATATATATATATATATATATATATATATATATAGCCACTCATTTATTAGATAAAACAAAAACATTTTTAAAATGCAAAATAATTAAAAATTTTCGAAATTTTTTTTCCAATATTATTTTCGGAATATATATTTTTGAAAAAAAAAAAAATACCAAAGAAAATAAAAAATAAATACAAAAACAATACATTTTTTTACATATTTTAGTACAATATTTAGAATATTCTACATATTTAACAAATCTAATAGAATATTCTAAACATTTTAAAAATCATATTAGAATATATACAGTATAATATTCTATTATAATGTTTTACGTATTTTTCAAAAAAAAAACGGTAATTTTTTTATTTTTTTTAGTTAAATAAAGTTCCAAAAATAATAATTAAAAAAATAGAATTTTTGAATTTTTTCTTTTATTTTACATTTTAAAATTATTTTTAAATTTGATCTTAAGGCTTCATAAAATTAGTATTATCTTAAATAAACCTGAATATATATATATATATATATATATATATATATATATATATATATATATATATATATATATATATATATATATATATATATATATATATTCAAAACATAACCGAACATATATATAACATAAATAAACTTAAATAAATAAACATAAACAAAGTTTCTTCCTACCAAATAATTCTTAAACATTGTTTAGAACCTTGTTACCTCATAAAAACCAAATTGTAAAAAACCATAAAAGTTTAGGGCTTTGACCCATAAATAATCAATGTTTGGGTAAAGTGTAAAGCCACTAAAAATATGCAAAACTTAAAGGGTTTTATTCCATTTTCTAGATAGCTGTCTTTGTTTTTGTTTTAACACTTAATTAGATATCTAATAAATAATCAAATCTTCTTTTTATTAATTTAAATGTCAACTTATACCATGAATTGGTTGACAAGGGCAAGTCTATGTTGATACCAAATAGAAAAGAAAAAGGACCCCCACGACTATTGATAATCATAAACTACAATCATATTTGAATTAAATAAATTCCTTCTTATAATATTTCTCCACTGAACTTTGAATAAAAGAAAAAAATTTAGTCTCAAACAATGATGCCCGACACGTCTCTCCTGCTCAATGCACAAGACGAAAGTCGTGAAGACCATTAATTGATGTACTAATCTTACTTTATCAACCTTATAAGTACCCAAGAATCATTTATTATTCTTCACCCCAATTCATTTAAGAACTTGAATACGAAAATGTCGATGACAAACAGTAAAATAGTCTTATTAGCAGTAGGGGTCATCTTCTTCAACCTCGTTGGTCACTGCTATGGTACTCTCGGCTATGGTGGTCTCCAGTATGGGTTCTACAATGGCAAATGCCGAGCTTCAGACGTTGAAGATATCGTAAGAAGAACAGTCTACTCCAAGTTCCTAACAAACAGAAAAATTGCCCCAGCTCTCATTCGCATGCAGTTCCATGATTGCTTTGTCAATGTAAGTTTCTTATCATAATTGACTTGTACATTCTTAAAGACTTCCAAGTCTATCTATTGGTAGTGTTTTTGAGCTGCTTGTCCCTCTTGATTATATCACTGTCAGTATCAGGCATCATGCGTATTGTTCTTCGATTATTGCTTCCTTTAGTATAGCTTCTGTTCTAAAGAATTTGGATTTTACAATGCATGATGCGCCTAGTTTCCTGAAGAACAGTTTTTGCATGGTTAAGTTTTACGTTTCAAAAATCCCTAATCATTCTAACTTTTCATGAAACTTTCTAACTTTTCATGAAACAAAAGGGTTGCGATGCGTCCATCCTACTAGACGGACCCAACTCTGAGAAAACGGCACCCCCAAATTTAAGTGTTAGAGGCTATGACGTCATTGATGCTGCTAAAACTGCAGTCGAGAATTTATGCCCAGGAGTGGTTTCATGTGCAGATATAATTGTTATGGCTACAAGAGATGTCGTCTCCTTCGTAAGAAACCATAACTTTTTTCCATTCATCAATATTAAATGCATGGGATTTCATGCAACTCTTACTCCGTATAATAACCTTAAGATAATGTAAATGCAGAGTGGTGGAGCTAGATACAGTGTCCAAACAGGAAGAAGGGATGGACTTGTGTCTCTTGCACAGAATGCTCTAACCCTCCCACCTCCTACTTCTTCGGTGTCAAGTGCCATTCGAGCTTTTGCTCTCAAAGGATTCACAGCCACCGATATGATCTATCTCCTTGGTAATTGATCACCAACCTCTTGTTGATAGTTATAAACTTATAGCATAAAATTTTGCTTAACGTGTGTAATGTACAGGTGGTCACACTATCGGAATCGCTCATTGTTCATTGTTTAAAGACCGTCTTTACAATTACAAGAACACCGGGAAACCAGACCCGTCCATGGATTTATCGCTGTTATCATCGTTGAGGATTAAATGCCCTCAGAACACGACAGCGGATCCCACTGCCAACTTGGATCAAAACCCTTTTAGCTCTGCAGTTGTGGACAAATCTTTCTACAGTCAAATTATTATGGGTAGAGGAGTTCTTCAATTTGATCAAGATTTGGCATCAGATCGCCTCAGCAAGTCCACGGTTGCAGCCATTGCGCGTTCCTCCGATTTCAACGCCCGGTTTGGTCAAGCCATGGTTAAGTTGGGTGCTACCCAAGTTCTTACAGGGAAACAAGGGCAGATCAGGAAATCATGCCGAGCAGTCAACGTTGTACCAACTTTAACTTCTTTAGTTAATTGATTGAAAGTTGTATAAGGTTTTAAACATGTGTTATATGTCCTTATGTTTCACATATATTGTTGTCGGTTTATTCACTTGATTTTTTACTATTATTGAGCTATGTATTTGAGGGACTAAATATCGTATTTGTTTGATTCTGAGGAATTGAAATTTGTATTTTAATCATTTCTTTTTGAATAATCAATCATGTACTTGTTGTTTCACAGATTTTTGTGTAAGTTACTACATCGATCTGTATACTTTAATTTCAACCCCTCATCGAATTACACAATTATATTTAGATTGTTTTTCTCTTATCTTGGGTTGGATAGAATATGGCTAGAGTCATTGCTTGGAACTCCATCATTGACATATTCAAAGCAAAACACTCGAAATGGAAGATAAAATATTCGAGGAGTTAGTGTAGACGGTTGTTTAGCCCATTTTACAGCCCACTTATATTATTAGCCTAGTTTAGGCCACGTGCATATATATATATATATATATATATATATATATATATATATATATATATATATATATATATATATATACTACAAGAAAAATGAATTACAGTCACACCAAAAAAATGTGATTATATGCGTATAGTGACATTTTATTTTTTTACTGAAAATGTGATAGAAGGTGACGTCATCGTATGGGTTTTATGGTCACTTTAAAATGTAGTGTCTGTATGCTATGAAAACATATGGCCGTAGTATAAAAGTATGGCAAATGTGTACGGAATTTTGTTCCTTAAATATCCAATATTGTAGCGTTAAATAGTTATTAGTCACACATATTTATTTAACGTCGTGACTGTAGATCACCAAAATGCGACATTCATGATGTTTTAGTGTAATTGTTTTCTTACATATGGTCACACAATTTAAATTTTATTAAGACTATTGTGTATCTTTTGTAAACTTTTAATTATGGTGAGTGTGACCATGTTTGCTAAATGGCCACAAGTACTTTACTTTCATATGTGAGGAATTGCTAATTATTAGTCGCAAAAAACAATCAACGTTTGTGACTATAACCTAATGTATAGAGACAAACGAAGAAGTGAATTAAAATCATAAGTATTGTAAAGACACACATTTTGTTAAAATTAAGGACAATACGATATCGTATTAAGACTATTGGGTATATTTTAGACACATATAATATACGGTAAACATGTACGTGTTCGGTAAATGGATACATATAGTTAACGATCTATGTGACGATTTCCTAGTATTTAGTTTCAACAACAATCAATTATGGTATTTATTTGCCACATATATTGTTTTTCCATGTTGTTATTGTTTAACTTAGTGACAATTTTTTTTAAATAAACATCACTTTAAATCAATTGTAGTCACATAATTCTTGTATATTATGACTATTGTTAACCATTTAGTCACACGTTCCAAATTGATATAAAGTAACAATTGTATATTTTTAGAGACATTAAAAACGTATATAACATGACACAAATCATACTACAGCCATTATAACTTACTATTTACTGTTACTTTTTATACATTTTAGACACATGAAAATACTTTATATTAAAGTAACGAAACACAACAATATGAATCACAAACAAAATTCATAATTTTATATTAATAATAATTGAAATCGAAATCCATATATACATTACATTCCTAATTAAAATATAAAAGAAAGGAAATTTTGTGTAATTTAAAGAATTTATATAACGGTTAAAAAATCAAACACATCATAAACCAAAACCTAAACATAACTAGCTAGGTATTCTTTTTGTTTGTATTGCTCCTTGTCTTTTTCAGAAGGGCATCAGATGATATGTAAGTAGGTTTTCTTTTTGTTGATTTTGGATGTGATATAATTTCTAGTACCTATAACAACAACATTGAAACCAATAAAATTAATTCATCATAAACTTAGTATAGTACTTTATGAAGAAAATAAAGTTTAATGCAAAAAGTATTGGACATATTGAAACAAACCTCTGACTCGGTTTACACAAGGTATTTTGGCCATGGAAAAAAACTTTTATATGCATCCTCAACTAATTTGAATTCTCCAGTTTGATGGGGTAGAAATGCAGTTTTTACAACCACTTCATCAATGGAAACTTTATAGCAATCATTTTGTAGACGAACTCCATGAATGAATTGTCTTTTCGATGATAAGTGAATGGCACCGCGGGCAACGATGTTCCTTTTATACGGATATGATAGACTACACTTGATTGGCTACAATGTAGCTTACCAACTTCCTCCTAAGAGTTGTATACCCCCCTCGTCCCATCCGATGATCATACTTTGACATCTTTCTCGCTTTGATAGTCCTTTGTGACACATTCTGTGAATTAAAAGTAACGTATTTTTCACGAACTTTTAGAACCCAGATTATGATAAATAAATGAATAAGTTCTGAAAAAAGATTTTAACATTAAACTCTTGAGATTGTGTATAAGTCACAAATTTGTTCCAATCATCTTGTTCAGTGATTAGTGAACGATAACGAACTAGGATTTTTTCAAGCATATCGGTATCGCCTAGATGTGGTTTGATGTAATCTGCATACAACTTTCTTCTGAAATTCCGTAGAAGAATACCAAGTCTATTCATCACAAATTGTTTTCCACTTTCATGAACCTCAAAATAACGCTAAAAAAAACAATGAGAATGTTTGTATTTAAAACTTGATTTTTACATATATTATGTTATACAGATTAAAAAATTAAAGAAGATATTTACTGTTATCTCTTCCCATAGTTTTTCCTTCATTTCCGGTTTAACTTTTTCCAGCAAAGAGCACTTAATCCTACCTTCTTGCGGACAAGATCACCCAAATAGCTAACAAAGACTGCATTATTCTTCCCTGTAAACTTACAAAATTCATCAAACCTGACACGTTTTTTTTCCACCAGAATTGACATATTCAGTCTTTAGTTTTGGCAATCGAGTCATGCCCCTCTTCTTATCTAATTTTGAAGGAACTGTTTTGTGGATTTCTTCTTCCGGATCTGATTGACTATTGTAGTGAATGTCTTTATTTTCACCATTCTCTGTAGGCGAATCATATTCTTGGTTTCCATCATCTAGCTCATATTTTGTATTACAGTCAGGGATATCCTCATGTTGTTCCTTGTCAACCTCCATGATTCTTCTGTTGACAAAACATATTGAAAATAAGTTTGATTGTTTATAAGTTTAATGATAATGTATGAACAAATAATATTACAGACAATTGCTCACATAAACATTTCATCGAACGGTTTATGTGCAAGAAGCACAACAATATGAAGAATCAATTTTTTTTTTTGTTATGCATGATCCGTGATCAATACAATCAATTACATTGAAACTATACTTACACTAGAAAGCTTGATGAATGATGAACTGAAGTATGATCCTTCTGGGATATAACCAAACGCTAAACAAAACAATGGTGGAATAAATGACAATCTATTAAATATTAAAATGATATAACAGGTCCTAAATTGATGGAGGCTACCAAAAATTACCGGGATTTCTTTCATCTGATGGACTGATCTTCATAGTTTTGGCGGTGTGATAGATGAAGATTTCACTCATTGATTTCATTGGAGCCCAAAAACCATACAAAAAAATATTTGCCTCTCTTTAGTTTTTGTTTAACTTCGTTTGACAGATTCAAATGTGTTTCAAATTTTGATCTCATAGTAATCCTACATGATTAGAAGAAAAAATCGTGGTTTGGAAACATGTCGTGCATTTTCAAAAATTAATATGATTTATTTGGTAACAATATAAATATTACATATTTGGTCCTTCTAAGTTAACAATTTAATTTTTGGAAAAACATTTATGACTATTTGAAATAAAAAATATATATAATTAAAAAATATATATATACAAGGGAAAAATATTTTTATATAACAAAAATAATAATATAGTCTAGTAGGCATAATTTGGTCCAAACCCACAACCAACACTATGGACATGACTAAATGAGGTCGAAACCCACAACCAACACTATGGACATGACCAAATGAGGTCCAAACCCACAACTAACACCCATACATGACCAAATGAGGTCTAAACCCACAACCAACACTATGAACATGACCAAATGAGGTCCAAACCCACAACCAACACTAAAGACATGACCAAATGAGGTCCAAACCCACAACCAACACCCATACATGACCAAATGAGGTAAAAACCCACAACCATCACTATGGACATGACCAAATGAGGTCTAAACCCACAACCAACACCCATACATGACCAAATGAGGTCCAAACCCACAACCAACTCTATGGACATGACCAAATGAGGTCCAAACCCATAACCAACAACCATACATGAACAAATGAGGTCCAAACCCAGAACCAACACCATAGACATGACCAAATGAGGTCCAAACCCACAACCAACACCTATACATAACCAAATGAGCTCCAAACCCACAACCAACACTATGGACATGACCAAATGAGGTCCAAACCCACAACCAACACCTATACATGACCAAATGAGGTCCAACCCACAACCAACACTATGTACATGACCAAATGATGTCCAAACCCACAACCAACACTATGGACATGACCAAATGAGGTCTAAACCCACAACTAACAACCATACATGACCAAATGAGGTCTAAACCCATAACCAACACTATGTACATGACCAAATGAGGTCCAAACCCACAACTAATACCCATACATGACCAAATGAGGTCCAAACCCACAACCAACAGTATGGACATGACCAAATGAGGTCCAAACCCACAACGAGCAGTATGGACATGACCAAATCAGGTCCAAACCCACAACTAACACCATACATGACCAAATGAGGTCCATACCCACAACCAACACTATGGATATGACCAAATGAGGTCCAAACCCACAACCAACACCCATACATGACCAAATGAGGTCCAAACCCACAACCAACACTATAGACATAACCAAATGAGGTCCAAACCTACAACCAACTCTATGGACATGACCAAATGAGGTCTGAACCCACAACCAACACCCATTCATGACCAAATGAGGTCCAAACCCAGAACCAACACTATGAACATGACCAAATGAGATCCAAACCCACAACCAACACTATGGACATGACAAATGATGTCCAAACCCACAACAACACCCATACATGACCAAATGAGGTCCAAACCCACAACCAACACTATGGACATGACCAAGTGAGGTCCAAACCCACAACTAACACTATGGACATGACCAAATGAGGTCCAAACCCATAACTAACACCCATACATGACCAAATGAGGTCCAAACCCACAACCAACACTATGGACATGACCAAATGAGGTCCAAACCCTCAACCAACACCCATACATTGCCAAATGAGGTCCAAACCCACAACCAACACTTTGGACATGAAGAAATGAGATCCAAACCCACAACCAACACTATGGACATGGCCAAATGAGGTCCAAACCCACAACCAACAACCATACATGACCAAATGAGGTCCAAACCCACAACCAACACCCATACATGACCAAATGAGGTCCAAACCCATAACCAACACCCATACATGACCAAATAAGGTCAAAACCCACAACCAACACTTTGGAGATGACCAAATGAGGTCCAAACCCACAACCAACACTATGGATATGACCAAATGAGCTCCAAACCCACAACCAACACCCATACATGACCAAATGAGGTCCAAATCCATAACCAACACTATGGACATGACCAAATGAGGTCCAAACCCACAACCAACATGTTGGATTAGTGTCTAAGTCTGTAACTATTTTGGTATGTACTTAACCCAATGGTGCATGGTCCTTTTGGGTTGCCTTCACCAAAGCAACTTGATAGGATGAATTATGGAGAGAAAGGATTAAATATGATTTATTAATATATTATGAGAATGATATGTTAAACGAGAAATCACATTGTTTAATTAATATTAGTCAATAATTAATTGGTAATTAGTTTTGTGACTAAAAGAGATTAATTAAACTTAAGGGACTGGAATTGTAATTATAAGATAATTGCAATTTGGGCTATGGATTGTCTTAAATTAAGGGGTGGACGAATTCTATGGGGAAACCCATGAGAAATCGTCCAAGGCCTTAATTAAAGGAGTCTATGGGTTGCTTAGGGCTTAAACATCCAAATTAGGGTTTCCTTGTTAGATAACCATAATAGCCTCACTATATAAAGACCCCTTATGACCCAAAAACGTGGGGAAGACTTCTTCTAGGGTTAGAACACGTTTTGGGCAGCCTCCATCCTCTCTCCTCTTCATCCTCTTGCTTATGGTGTTTGTGAACCATTAGAGGAGTGACATTTGTGACTCTAAGCTTTCTAAAGTCAATACAAGGAGGAATTGGGATTGTTATTGCTACATAACAATCAAGATAATATCTTAAACATAATTATATGTTAATATCCATTTCCATATGTTAGACTTAGGGTTTATAGTCTTGGATAACTTGTATGTACAATAGAGAAACCTAGATCCAAGCATTAGGGTTTGTATGAGCACATAGGATGTTCTTATGACCAAAACCCATCACAACACCCATACATGACCAAATGAGGTAAAAAAAAAATAACTTTACATATTAATTAAAATTATATATATATATATATATATATATATATATATATATATATATATATCTTTACTACTTATAAAAGAAATCTAACTATTTCTATAAATAGATTGAATATAATAATATTATTTTTTTAAGACGTCCAAACTATTAAGCTTGAAGTACAACCCATTTATAATATAATAATATTAAAACTTTAACCATATCCTTTATCCCTTAAAAAATCTCGTATCAAATTAATAGAAGAATTCATTTGCAAATTGAACCCGTCAATCTCAACACTTCAACCATTTGAAGCGGTCAATGTCAACAATTTATAGAGGATCTCTTCTCTCACATTGGTAACAAACAATCTCATAATATCTATCTTCGTAATCCCTTCAAAGTAAGAAATATATGCACACTCTCTCGAAGAACCCTAACCAGTAACCAAGACAGTATAACCACCACCACCACAGCCGCTCTGCCTCCTTTCGCCTTCAATCAACCACTATCACGACTACCACCCTTCCTCTCACCCACGACATGAATTTTCATTTGGAACATAACATTTTTCTTTAAAAAAATATCGTTGAAAGAAGCTATTTGTCCCCGCCGCTATGCGCGGGTAACGGCTAGTATATATATATATATATATATATATATATATATATATATATATATATATATATATATATATATATATATATATATATATATATATATATATATATATATATATATATATTGTTTGATAAAAAAAACAATGCTAGTATGGATATTATATTTAATTAATATTGTAGATAGTTTTTTACATGAATATAATACATATTAATTTAAATACTAGATATATTAATGTGTAATACAAAAATGTGTAATCATTATCGTAGCCGAATAACCTTCGTTCTAAATCCACCTCTACAGACTGCAATTAATCGGAGAAGTGATGGCCTCAGTCGACGTCGCTTCACTTCCGACTGATGATCCTTATAAACCGTTCGCTTATGTCAATTTCATCATTCTCACATATTCATTAGGTGACGATAAGTTCAATTACTCCTTCTTCCTGTTTAAAAAAAAATACGTCGATTTTCAGAAAAGAAAATGAATGCTGATCCGTGGGCCCGTCCGAACTTCAATCTCTGGAGTGTAAGCGCAGAACCTCCAAAAAACAAACCGGTGGTTGAATACGAGAAGGCAAACGACAAATGTTTGACCATTCGCGTTGTCCATGGTGGGTTCTTTACAGACTACCCAGGCAAGGCGTATCAACAGACCAAGGTTCACTTCATTTCTCATGTGAACATTGATTTGTTAGACATGGAGTTGCGTGGCCGTTTTTCTAGAAGCCTTGGGTATACCAGTTTGGGGAATTGGTATCATATGCCTCGGAGAACATAGTGGGTTGTCAATGGTTCCAATACTAAATGATGAATGTTTGAAACCATTCAAGACGTTAGTTAGGACCCACGAATTCCAAGAGATTGAACATCTTTATGTTGAACACAGACATGTGTTTGTTCCAAACAATTTCCCACACTTTTTGATGAACTCTCCAACCAAACTTGTTGAGAAGCTTATTCAC